CCCCCCCCCCCCCCCCCCCCCCCCCCCCCCCCCCCCCCCCCCTCTGAGGTGAAGGGGAGCCCTGAAGTGGGACCTTCATCCCTGCTGTTTTAGGGGCTCCCCTCCCCCCATTCCTCCTTCCGCCCCTGCTCCTATAAATGCTTCCATTGCCACCTCTCTCCTCCTCACCGCCGTGTGGGGCTTGGCTTCCTCTCGTTGTTTCAGAGGAGGGGTGGGAAGGGTCGTATGTCCACCCCCTGGGCTGCAGGGTACATCTCATAGGGACCATCCAGTCCTCTTGTCTCATCTATCTCTGGGACACTGACCTGGGCAGCTCAGCCTTCGCTTCTTTGGGGTGAGGAGGCAGGGCTGTGTGCTCCTCAATGCCACCCAGATCGTCGAGGGAGACCCAAATCTTTAGGAGAGACCCGGGTCTTCCAGGGGATTGTAGCCCAGGTGCTCACTGTGGCTCTTTCCATCCAGCTCTGTGAAGCAGATTACCTCAGGTTTGGAAAAAAGGCTTCTTGCATGGTCCTTGAACTTCCCTTTGTCTTCTGTGGTTGATTTAAATTCTGAAAAGAGTACCTGAAAAGGTAGTTCGTGCTGCACGTCCCATAATTATTGATAATTGAGGCATTCTTTGGCTAGGAGACATTAATGTTATATGGGGTGTTGAAGAGCAGTGTCTTTCATTTGAAGAAATGCTGATAGTTGTAGCAGTGAGGAAGGATCTGCCTGTTTGAAATACTTAGGAAATGAAACTAGTAGGAAATAGCTGAAAGAGCATGTGAAAGGAGGAGTTTTATTTTAGGAAGTGAGTAAGAGGAAATGACTTCAGGTTGGCATCACTGAGTGTAATCCGTGTGTCGTGAGGTTTTGTTGTTGGTTTTCTTTTTTTCTAAACAGCTTGCTTGGCTCTCTCACAGCAACTTTAACACTTTTCCTCATATATTGTAGCATGTGGGCATTTTGAAGGCAAGAAGATTGCTTATGACAGCTGCCAGGACTGAGGAGAAGGGTCACATCCGTGAAGGAGATGCTCTGTTTGCTTTTGTAGGTTATGGTGGGGGTTCTGGGGTGGAGATGAAGAAATGGAGACCTGAGGCAGGAGAACTTACAAGTGACTGAGTGGTGGGAGAGAGCCTCCAGTGCGTTTGCAAGTAAATAGTTATCCATTCAGTGTGTTGATTCACACTGAAGACTTCTGCAGCTGTTTTTCATCAATTGCAATGCAGAGCTTGCTCTGTCGTTGTGCATATAAAACATGTCTGTGTTGTGCTCAGGTACCATTTTTTACTCATTACCGGATAAGTCATAGTAAGTGGGAGATCTGTCACCTGTTTCTGTTGTAATTTGTAAAGGTCGTTATATAAGTTCTTGAAGTTAACCTGCTGTCCAGGTTGATGATCTGAGCTTTAAAATAAAAGCTTTACTATTTCTCCTTCTTTAAAGGAGCTGCCAGTTTTTAGCTGCACCTTAGCTGTATATATTTACAGATCACTGAGCTGTAACAAAAAAATAAAAATTCTGCTAGTATCTGTGAAGAAATCTATTTAAGAAAAGTATAAAACAGTAAAGCTCTGCAACACCTCTGGGAGCAGTTTGTAGCTAAAACACTTGTTTGACTTGCTGTGTGACACAGATAACCAACTTGCATTCTAGTTCTTAAACTGAGTATGATTTAGTGATTGTGAGTGCCTTAACTTAAGAACTTAAGAAGTTTTTATTGTTTTTTTTTTCTCCATATTTTTTTCTGCTTATGATATGTGTTAATTTCTTGTTTGAATAGAGAAACAAGAGGTCAGCTGTCTGGGTTTATTGGTATGCTCCTCTAGACATCTAGAAGATTACCATTTACCAGGTGAGGAGAGATGAAGAGCTCTTATTAGGGATGAATTGCACTTTCCCATGCTGGGCCTTCAAAAGCTTGCTTGTTTAAAACTTGCATTCTAAGTAGTAAGTCCTTTTTGAGACAGGCAGAGTGAGCAAATGCAGTTCTTTCAGCCAGCATGTGAAAGACAAGCTTTGTTTATATCCTTCCAGTCAGCAAAGCTCACATCATATTTTAAGGTGTGCTTTATAATTAGAAAAACTGCCGGCAGACAAAACTGAGAAGTAAATTATGTGAGTGCATTGTCTGTGTGTTAAAGCTTCAGCAGAGTGCCAGTTCCATGCATGCTCTAATTTCTCTGGCTTACCTGGACAGCAAAGCCAATTGCTGCGCATCAGAAAAAGACACTTAGGAGTAGGTGGTAAGAACAGGTGTTTTTGTAGTCTGTGTGGAAGGTTTGGTGATCAATGACTGCCTCCTGTAGGAAAGGGATGTGCTTAGTGATGGTTTTTATCCTTGGGAGTTTGGACTGCTGGTGCTTAAAGGAACATTGTCAGTGTAAATGTTGCTACAGCTTTTTCCAGTTGTCCCAATTCCTGACCACTGAGATGTTTTCTCTAACTTGATTCTAGCTTTTTTCCTTCAGTTTTTAACTTTTTTTGATGTTCATTTGTAGATGCTATGCGCAGCGATGCTGTCTTGTCTGTTGAAATTGCATCTGCATTATTACATAGGCTGTCTTGCTTATTTATTCCTTATTTCCCTAAGCTTTGTTTACATCGGGGTTTGGAGGTATTGGCAGGGAGTGGAACTGCCAGAGAACGCTCCACCTATGAAGCAACAGAAGCAGGTTGTTTGTGGCTTCTCTTTGATACGATATATTTTCATCAAGGAAGAACAGAGGAGGTCACTTTCAGATGATGTTGGCACGCTTGTTTGGCCCTGGCCCTTCTCCCCCTGTAAATCAATCATTGCACAACTTGGCCTGGCAGAAGCTCTGGCTTACAGATAAGCAAGCTGACGGAGCAGAAGTCAGAACCAAGCCGCAGAGGCTCTCAGTGATGGTGGTGCCAGGTGTGTTTCAGCACTGCAAATCTGTAATGACAGATGCTTAGTAAGAGCACCATGTAAGAGTTCTTGAGCACTGCTTGTGTTCCCTCTGGGAGAGGTGCTGTATGGCATGTTTCCATCCTGAGGTTTAAAGCTTGTGAGAGGAGCTCAATATTTTGTAGAAGGATCCGTGCCCGCTTTTCGTAAAGGTGAGTAGCTTGTAAAGCAAGGCTTGAAGGTCTCAAAGTTGATATGCACCTGTAAAATAGGTAAAGCTCTTGGTCTCTGAATTGTTACACAAATATTCCTAAAGAAATGCCTTTGAAAGAGCATAGTTTTTAGCTTAAATGATCTTTGGGTTCCATTTACAAATTGTATGTCAGTAACTTAGGAAATAACAGAAGTCAGCAAACTTCAGAAAAGCTTTAATTGCATTTTAAGAATAAGTAATTAAGTAATGACACTTGAAAACCAAATAGTCGCAGTAGTTTTGAATACAGTGCTAATGAGAGGACAAAACAGAGCCTTGCATTTGGATTTCTGATGGAAACATCAGGAAGCCTGGTTTGCAAGGCCTCTGCCTTCATTATGTATGGAGCTGCAGGAGGCAGGTGTCAGTCCATCCTGATTCTATGTTCTGAGTAAATGTTCATAGTTCTGAAGCTGTAGAAAATGTTTCTTGTTGGGGGAGTTGTGTTATAATTACCTGGTGATGCTGGAATCTCTGTATTAAAGCTGTCTTCTCTTGATTCTGCTGTTGAACTGCTTGTGCAAAGAGCACAGAGTGCTGGGCACTGAGCATTCACTTCTCTGCCTCGTTCTCATAGGTTCGGGTGTCACTTATGGTGCTGGAGGACAGGAGAGATCTGTATGCTAAGAAGGCTTTAAAGCTGAATTGAAAAGGAAAGAAGGAAGGAGGAGGCGATCAGGTAGCTCTCATTCAGGAGAGAGCTGAGAGAAGCAGTCACTTGTTGCTCTCACTGCAGTGGAGGTGGCAGCTGAGGTGGCTTGCTTAATGATTCTGGATGAGAGAGGCTGTTCCACAGTGTGTGAGTTTGCACAGGAGTTTGGCCTGAGAGCAGCGATGTGTGCTTGGATTCTGAACCTTCTGTTGTCCTGGGCTATTGCTGCATGCTAAGTGATGGGCAAGGGAGGTTTTCTTTTGCTGTAGCAGGTTTAAATTTGCAGTAATTCCTTTCCTAATGTAAGAAGCAATGTGAAAATCATTTTAGTTCTTGGTGCTGCTGATAAATCTTTTGTGTATGAGTTCTCTGCATTATCTTTTACTGAAATACCAACATTGCTGACCTTCCTATTAAGATGTGTCTAGAAGATGTTACAGCTTGGATTTTGGCAGACAGCTGGGAGGTGAAAACAGAGCCAAGTGAGCATTTCCAGTAATTCTATCAGTATTCCATTTCATTGTTTATTATTTTTCCCCTCTTCATCATAAGATTTGTTCACAAAATGTTTTCTCCTTAGAAATTCACATTGGATCTTAAATGAATTGGAACATTAGTATAATGAGACTGTATCGTAATGAAAGGAGGTTTAATTAACCAGTTATTTAAAATAGTAATGACTTCTGGAGTCGTGTTTGTCCTGCAAGTCCTCTATGATAATGAAAACGGCGAAACCGGTTTTCTCTCTTCTACATTCATATTAAGGGAGCAAAAGAAAACCTGTACCAGTTCCTAACCCATCTGAAAAGGCTTGTGCTAAAGCACCCAGAGATGGACCCAGCTGATTTCCCACTGCAGGTGGGTGCCCTTACAGGGAATGTCAGCATCTCCAGGGGAGCACGTGAAATATTTCTAAGCACCGGTTGCTTGATGAGGTTAATTTGAATTATTTATGACAGCTGCTCTTGAAAATGCTTTCAAGATTTATGTAGTCTTGAATCAAACTGCAGCATTATCTTGGGAGGAAAAGAAAATAAGTGGGTAAATGCAGTTCCATAAATCACAGCTGCGTTGGTAGTTTTGTACTGGGGAGAAGCCTTGATGGTGGAATAGCTCCAAGGGTGCAGTGTAAGGCTTGTGATAGGGGCTGTGCAGGGGGCTGAAAGAACACCTGTGTGGTGTGATGGTAGGAAAAAAATGGCAGTTTGGGGGATATTGATCTCTTTTCAATTCCAGCCTCTCACCGGCTTTTGAAAATTGGTGATAATAAAGTATAACAGCCACGATGTTAAAGGAGCTTCTGATGATGAATCGCAGTGTCTTCGTGTTGGCCACTGCCCGTCTGAGCACTGGTTGAATGGCTCATTGATCACATTTCTTCCCATCTGGCAGCACGTTTTCAGGAGGTGAGGTAATTTTGCCAAGAGCCTTGTTCTGTGGGATTTGGTCATTTAGGAAGCTATCGAGTGTCTGCAGGGCTTAAGTGTAGCGGTGGTGTGATGGAAGATGGGATTTCAAGTCGTTAGGATGGTACTGATACAAATTAGCCTCCTGGATTCTCTTGTTACATTTTAAAAAGCCTTTTTCCAGTGGTTTCATAACAAGTAATTCAGGAGTGACTTGAAGAAAGAAACAAACCCTCCAAAACCAAGAGGAAAAATGGTTGATTTTCTTGGCTACCCTTGTGTGGGTATGATGGTGATGAGTTCAGTTATGCTGACGTGAGCTGAAACTTTTTGTGTGCAAATGTTTTGTGAGTTCATCATGACCTTGATCCAGGAAGAAGTAACAAAAAGCAGTTGCCAATGGATGGAAAGATCTCTTCTATGCTGCCTTTCTTTTGGCTTCTACTCGATGGAATGGTTTTTGGCATGGATGCAGCTCTCTTCAGCCACTGCTTAGGGCTTGCTTCGATGAAGAATGGGTGGTCAGCAGGGCAAGGGAAATGGGTTTGCTTTGTGGTGTCAGTGATACAGCAGTATTAGCATGCTCTTTGGCAAAATGGAGTTCTCACTGAGGTGCTCATCCTATGTCTTAGGTGGATTTCTTTCATATTGCAAGGAGTCTTGTGACTCCTTTATTTTCAGCTGAATTGAATGCTCGCCTGCCTTTGTGATGCGACGGTTTCCATGTCATTCTGCATTGCCCTTTCCTTTGAGGGAAACAATGAAAAAAGTGATCTGTAGCTTCTCTTAGACCAAATAATAATTTCATGTTTCTGTGACATTGGGATTTTCATTGAGTTGTCCAAAAGTCAGAAAAAACAATGAAGAGTCTTCAGCAAATAATCAGAGGCGTTCTGCTGAGCATAGCAACTCCTGAAATGAAATTAAATCTGGTATTTCTAGAGTGGCTTAGAAGAGCAGCAACAAAATTTGGTTTTATAGCTTCTCTGTCTCCGAGCCTAATATCTTTTCTCCTTTTTTAATATCATGGTTATTGCATCTGGAGAGGTTTATTTCTCTTGCCTAGATGGCGAATCTTTTAATTGGAGCGTTTCAGACTTCTTAAATGTAATTCTTTAAGCAGGCTGTTCCAGCTGTGTCTTTTTTCCTAGCAGAGGACATCATGCCATCGTGCAGAAGTCGCTTTGGCTGCTTGGAACCTTAATTCAGGAGGATGAGCAGTTTTAGGAACAGGTTTTGATTTTCTTGGGACCTTGAAGTCTAAGAAGGATTGGCATTGGAAACGTGAGAGAGAATACAGGAGAGGAAAAAGGAATCCAGGGGTGTGTTGTATTCTGAGCACAGAACGAATTGTCAGTGCGTGAGTGGAAGTGAGGCATCCTGCAGGGTTCAGGAGGGCAGTTGGGGGGGTGACAGGATTGGGGCTGAGCCTCTTATTGAATGGCTTCCACGGCTTGGCACGTTGAAATGCACTGTGCTCTGTGTTCATCTGTCAGCTTCGTGTGTCCCAACAGTAATAAATATGAGCTGTAAGTACAGTGATGCACTTCCATACTGCTGTGTTTACTGTTAATTTTCTATAGCTGCTTTGGTGTGTGAGGAGCTGCCAGTTGAGCCTAAAGGTTTTTCGAGCTCAGAATGTAATACCTTTCTTTACTGGAAAAGGCATCGGGCTGTGGGCAGAGTGTGAAAATGGAGTAATGGTGGAAAGAATGGCTGGTCGTTCATCTTTAATGTTCTGCTGCTGTTAAAATCTGTTTAACATCAGTGAGGAGCATTTTTGGGAGCACCTCTGATCAGAGATTCAGCACGAGTGTTTGCACTACTGAGACCTAACGGTGTTCTTTGGGGATGCTGGAGTGTCATCAAGTAAAAGCAGAGAAAATTCAATTTGGCAGTATTTAATTCCTTTTATATATATATATGAAAGCTCTCCTGGGGTGCTTGGGGAAGGTTACAGTATAAAAAGCAAAAAATCCCCAGACAGCCTCAGTTTAAAAGGTCTTGTAGGTCACCTCTCAGGATGAGGAAATGATGGCAGTGGTTTATGTTGCATTATTCAAGTCATCTTTCCTCCACACTGAAGCTTTTGGTTTCTGTGGAATTGGGGAAATGATCGGCCTCCATTGGGCTGTAAGCTGGGACCAGTAATCTCATCAGATGTGATCAGGACTGCACAGCTGGGGTAATTCTCAAACTCTTTAAAGAGTTCAGGAAATTACCTGTGTGTGATGGCTTTTCTTGGTCAAACGTTCTTTTCTTACTGGGTTACCCGAGGTGTGAGATGGGGTAGGAGTCTCTCCAAGGGGGATTTGCAGCCAGTGTCGTTTATGTTCTTGATGGACTTGGTTTCTTTTTCAGATCCCTTGCAGTTGGCAGTAAATCAGGCTACAAGTTCTTCTCTCTTTCTTCTGTGGACAAATTAGAGCAGATCTATGAATGCAGTGAGTATCCTTTTTATTATTTGTGTTTTTTTATTCCATTGGTTGAATTCAGGAAGAATAAGACTGTCCTGTTTTTTCACTGGTTGTTTGAATGTCACGTGAGCAGAACCTCAAGTGTATGGTGAAATAACACACAAATACAAAACAATTGATTGCTATCATGGTAAGGCTGTGTCAGTGTTACATATTTAAATTTAGAAGGTAGGCTGTGAAATTTGGTAATAGCCAAGAGAACCTCTTTGCTTTTCTAGTTTTATGACCAGCAGCCAAGTAATGTAGCATCTGGGTATAACAAAAAAAACAACACTGTTTGAGAGTACTTTTGGGGTCTCTGTACTGGCTTTTTGGGGGCAAGTCACCACTCCTATAGTCATATCAAAAAATCCAAAGCCCTGGTCATCATTTTTTGAATCCTAATCTCTGCTGTGAAACACAGTAGCTGCAGCTTCACCCATTCAAAAGGCTGGATAATCTAAATTCTGGTAACTTTTCAAGTATGGGTCACAGTTAAGCAGGATATGAGATAAAATGGAGGTACGCCTGGAGGAGAAGCAGTAACCCTGCTTTCCCAACTTTCTTCCTCTTTTTTGAGATGGTTTGATGGTTCAGTGAAAGCTGAGAGCAAGCAGCCCTCCCTTTCTTATAAGGCAGAGGCAAGCAGTAGTGCCAGTAGCCACCACGTCAGCCTGCACACAAGAGTCCTGGTGTATCACAGCAGGATTGTCTTTGGACTCCATTCCCAAAGTGACCTGACCTTGTGTCATCAGAAGTTTGGAAGTGGTGTGTGATTCAGATCAGCTATTATCTGTGGTTACAGCCTGCTCTGGTGTACAGTCAGTGGAAAGGAGTAACTGTGACGTTTAAATGAGGCCCTTGTGGTCGGGTGAATTGTGTTGCAGCTCCATCTGCCCCACTGAGTCATGGTCTGGTTGTACTGGTTAATGGGTGACTTGAATTCCATTTGATGCTGTTGAAATCGGGTACCTGACTTCTGTAGTATGTTAGGCACTTGCAGTATCTGGCCTGATATGACCTGAAGAGACCCAGTGAAGAGGACTCCTGTTACATGAGACACTGAAGAAACGTACTGGGAGAGGTTGAGCTGAACTTTCAAGGTAGTCCTTGAAACACAAAGTATAGGTAGGATAAAGTACTTCATTCAGAATATTGCAGTGGAGCAGCTGGGATTGGAAGTTAGAGCTGCTGATTCAGGTCCTGTCTATTCTGGGCTGCCTGCATTAGCTTAACCTTTCATATTAGAAATTTTCCTCTGTGACCCTTAAGTCTGTAGACATGGAGCACGGAATGCAAGATGACTTTTAATAGAAAACCTGGTGGTTTGACCTGTGTAAGCCGTCTGACTTGGCCTCTGCTCATCTAAATGCTTGAGTTTTTTGTATATATAGTTAAATAGTTTCTAGTCTTGGGCTTGCCACCAATGCATGTTTAAAACTGTAACCTCAGCATGGGGGTGGTGGGCTTTTCTGGTGCTTCCTAGGAAGGAAAAGCATTTTGAGGCCCCTGCCTCCAGTTCAGTTTGTACATAGAATCATAGAACCCCAGGGCTGCGTGGTTCTGAAGACTGCTTTGGGTGAGCACTGGTCAGGACCTTGTTCTTTGGGTGATCTGCAAGTTCTTAATGTGGATGCCCGAGGTAAATTACAACATATGCTCTGGCTGTCACTTATTTGACAGAACAACTAAGAAGAATGGGAGGTTTCTTTGTCCCTGTTACAGACATCACCATGATGCAGATCACCCGACTCCCTGCTCAGTTGATAAAAATGAGTTTTGGATTGGAGAGTTCTTGGAGGCCTAATGAATATTTAGAACGTCTTCATGCACCTGGATTAAAAATGGAATAGAAGCACATCTGACTGTAATCGAGCTGCTTCTGACCAGCTCTGGTGCATGTTGTGTTCATGAAACTGTAACTTTGTTACGTTTGCCCGTTCTTCTCTCCCTGTTGATGCTTACACCGTTTTGCAGCTCTTTGTTCTTACTGTATTTTCAGTCTGACTTGCTGGTGGTGCTCACAGTGGATAGAAAATACAAATACATGCATATAGATATAGTTTGTAAAACAAATACAAATAGGAAAAGAAGTCAAACTGGTTAACAGCATTGCTATAGGACTTAACAGGTTCCATTAAAAATATGATTAATCCAGGTCAGCTGGCTGTAGGATGTGCAGTCTATCCTGGTGCTTCTGAATGGTTGCTCATTAGGAAGCATAAATGACTTGGCAGCTGTGAAGGGACTTTTATCATTTCTTCCAGTTAGGAGAAGACAAAGGAACAGAGGTGCATCCTGTATTTTTAAAGTGAATTGAATTACAGGACAGGCACAGAGCTTTTCTCTGGAAGGTTGCTGTGTCGTAGTATAGGAAGTCTCCTCGTGGTAACAATCTGAGAATGTTTATACCTCTTAGGTGCTTTCAGTTTTGGAGGTTTGTTGTTTTATTTCTTCCCCATGCCCATAGCAGTTGGGTTCCTGATGGTGTCCTTCCCTGCTGGCTAATCTGCATCAGCACAGGATAGGACAGCACTTCTTCACTGGTTCTCTGCTGCTGTTCCAGCTCTGAAATACCAGTTCTCCTGCCTTCCTGGGAGCAAAACAAGTCCCAGCAGCTGCCCCTGGATGGGGAAAGAAGCTGAGTATTCCCTCCCCAGCCTCAAAGATCAGGGGGCAATCAGGCTGTGGTCTGGGGTCTCCGTGCACCACTCCTCTCTGGCTCTTCTGGAAGGATGGTGTTATTGTGGAGGGCTCTGGGCTGGGATGGAAGGCTGATAACCTGTACTGTCAAAAGATTGGGAATCTTTTATGTTACTTTTCTGCATCTAGAAGTCTATGCATGAGGTTATTGAAACAGATTTTTGTGTTCATCTTCTTCAAGCGTTGTGCTGTGTGTGGCATCTGGAAAATGGAGAGAAATTCCTTGAAAACAAACTCGTTTCTAAAACACATTATCCCTTTTGCAAAAGTGAGGAAATTGAATTTTCAAAGCCTCTGTGAGCAGTTTTGTCTTCTCTGGAAAAATACAATCTTGCTTATTAGATTTGGATAAAAGTCAATTATGTTGCATGAAGACTGAAAATGCTCATTATAAACCCCCCCTTCTTTTCTGCAGGGAGGCTCTTGCTTTCTTGCTCTTGTGTACAGAATTAAATATTTTCTGTTCTTTTTCTTGAAATAACTGCCCAAAGAAAGCACTTTCAAAGCTGGTGTGTTACACAGCGATGGCATTGTAATGCACTGAGAATGTTAGAAGGTTCTATTTTTTTTTCCTCATGGAATTCCTGTCATCGGTGATGAGAACGGTGCCAATTGTTTGGTAAGCCTCTGGGTCAAAACAGAAGCCTTCAGAAATAAGCTGGCTGTTTTCTTTTGTCTTCTGGCAGTTCTGTCATTTCAGACATGTTAAGCACTGACCCAGTCCAGATTCCCATTTCTGAGGAGTGTGGCCGTTTCCACAGATCAGTGCCACAGGCTCACATCTTGTCTTGATTCCTTCCTCTAAGGGAAGGGCAGATGTAGCCAGCAGCCGTGGGAGAGCTGCAGGATGGGGGAACTCCTGCTTTTTCTTGACGTGGAATAGCTTTTCGTTCATTCTGCTCTAGTGTCAGAAGCCTGTGTGCAGCTGGCTTTGTTTCTGAGTGCAGTTTATCCAGCAAGGGAGTAGGCTGTCTGCTGAGAGTGTTAAGTGCCCCCATATTGTTTTGAAGTGTGTTTCTGTGGGTTGCTTAAAAGCTGCTATGAAGGCAGTGCCTGGAGGGTGAGTCAAAACCTCATGAGAAGGAGAAACAAAAGTGCCAGGGTGTCACTGGTGGGGTTTGGGCTCCTACCAGTTTGGTCCAGTACAGCAGATGCTCTGGAAGAACTTCTCTGCTGCAGATCCCAGGCTCTGCTCCTGCTGTCGTCCCCAGGTTTTGAATGATGGCTTGGGCTCCTCCTCTGTATCCCAGTGCTCTTGTAGCAGAACATAAAATTAAAGCTGTCTTGTGGCTATGCATGCAGACTGTGATTCAGGGATTGCTGTTTAAATTGGTTTTAGGTGGTATCAATGTGATCCGTTGTGTATTTAAAAAATACATGAATAACGTCAGGGGCTGAAACAGTTTTAAGACAAGTGAGTTTAGCAGCTTCTTTATGTAATCTTCTTCTTTTCCTTTATGGGGAAATACAGGGTGCAGGCTCATGGCATTGCTTTAGAGGAAAGAAAACAAAGTGCTAAGTTTCTGGATCTTCATTATCCATCCTGCCTTAACTCGGCCATTGTGCCAGAATGTCTGTGTTCTTAGATTGTATTGCCTTGCACTGCATTCCCTGTTAATACACATGGTTCTCTTTCCCTGAAATCTCCCTCTGTGTTTTGTTTCCCCTCCCTTGCTGTGGTTCCTCAGCTGACACTGAAGATGTGTGCATTGTGGAGAGGCTGTTCTCCAGCAGTCTGGTGGCCATCGTCAGCCTTAAAGCTCCACGCAAGCTGAAGGTTTGTCACTTTAAGAAGGGGACAGAGATTTGCAACTACAGTTACTCCAACACCATCCTGGCTGTCAAACTCAATAGGCAGGTGAGTAATAATTGTAGTGAAAGCAAGAGGGCTTGTAGGGCTTATTCCGGCAGTTTCTCTGGTGGGTGGCTTTTCCTTTGGTGACAGAACTGCTATTTGAAATTAATTTCTATGTTTCCAGCTGCAGCTGGGATGTTTTATGGCATCTGAGTAACCCTGTTTGGTGAAGAACTTCTGGTTCTGTGTTTACATGTTTTGCTGGAACGCCTTCAGCAGGCTGGTCTGACCACGTTGCTGACCCTGCTTTGAGGGGGTGGTTGCACTGGAGGCCTGCCATGGCCCCTTGCGTGTTTAGGATCACAGGACAATTCCAACTGAAAATACGTGGGGGCAACAATTTCTAATGGGCCAAAACTTAAACCTCAAATTGTTTTTATCATTTTTAAAAACAGTTTGAATCCTTGAGATGCAGTCACTGATCTGGTGTAGTTTTTAAGTGGGGTGCTTGTAGTACTGAGGCATTGGCAGGTTCTTCTGCACATACGGTTTTGTCTTCAACCAGTTCATTTGAAGTGGAGAAAATAGCATCTGAATGATGAACTCTTCTTAGTGCCCATCTCTGCCCTCAAAATCAGGTGTGAGGTAATGGGATTCCTGTTTAAAACTGTAAGGAGGCAGTGACTGCTGTTGTTTCTGACACCATGAGGTAGCAGTAAGTGGGTCAGGTCTCGTTAAACAGCTGTCCAGATGCAGTCACCAAAGGGCAGATGAGGCATTGAAGAACTTTAATTGTTTGTTTGTTTTTGAAGTACCTCACAAATGAGTATGAATAAGTAATAGGCTCTATAAACAGTTTTTAAAAGTCTTGTATATTTTTCTTTCTAGCCAAAGCAGGAAGTGGGGCCCACATGTGAATTGTCCTCTAGAGGGAGAGAAATACACATGGGCAGGCAGAGTAAGGGTGAAATAGGTACGGAGGAAGGTTCTGGCTTGCTTACTCAATCTGGTAGAGTAAATCGTTTTCATTTAAATCAATTTACAATGGTGTGGTTGAGAGAAGTCAGGTATGCTGGGCAGTTCAAGTGCCTGAGAGCACTACTGCAGCATTGAAGCCTCGTCAAGAGGTCTCTCATGCGTCTCATGTCAGACTCATCTTCCCATCAGGTTGGTACAAGCTTCCTGAATTGGAAGGCACCAGCTGTGCTTGGATGCTATTTTTTAGAATCGATAACTTCATACAAATTCTCTTTTCATATCACCATTTAATCTGTCCCATGTCTAGAGGCTGATAGTATGTCTGGAAGAGTCTCTTTATATACACAATATACGAGACATGAAGGTATTGCATACAATCAGGGAGACGCCACCCAATCCAGCAGGTGAGTGTGTTGTTAAACTGCCTTAAGCTGCCTCCTCCGTGTTCTGGTCTGCTCGTGCAGATGTGCTGGAATGTTAGGTCAGAAGGAAGCAATAGAGGTGCTTACAAGCTGGATCTCTCCAGCACTTGGCACAAATAAAAGCTATGTCAAGCTAATGCTTGAGGGGTTTCTTCTACTTGGTCAGTTAGTGTCGGTCTGACAGTATTTTTACTTTGTTCTAAACCTTATTAGTAATTATGTTAACAAGGGTTCTTGCAGGTTGGCTCTTGAGATTTCTTATCCCTGTTCTGTGTCTGTTGATACCTTGTGAGAATGATTGAGTTGATGTTTGCAAGGTTTGAACGTAGGTCAGAAAGCTTCACCTTTTAAGATTTAGAATTTGCTTCTTTCTGACTGCTTTGTTGTTTTCATTATTTTTTTTTTTTCTTATGTTGTTGTTTTTACTTCTGAATACATTCTAGGGTTGTGTGCTTTGTCAATAAACAATGACAACTGCTATCTGGCCTATCCAGGGAGTGCAACTATTGGAGAAGTACAGGTCTTTGACACCATCAATCTGGTAAGGGTCTTTGTGAAGACTGTTTCCCTTTCTAAAGATGCAGTTCTTGGAAATGACTCGAAGTGCTCAAAGAATTACTAGACATCCAGGTCCAACCACAAAAAAACTGCAGTATCCTTTATACTTAGGCATTATAGAACATTGACAAAGAGAAGTAAGGCCATCGAATAAAGCTGGCAGAGAGATGGAGTAGAAGTGCAGTTGCTTCTAGTAGAGTTGTCTTTAAGTAGCTTTCTTGTGCTTGTATTGTCTGTGCATGTGCTTCAGTAGTTTGTGTACTTTCACATAGCAGTTACTGAAATTGTTGTCCATAAATAAGGCTCATATTTACATTGAGTGCTCTTGCACACACAGATTTAAGCTGTGGACGTGTGGTGTGCTGTACTAAGGTTCTGTTTTATTGATTCACTCCTGCAGAGAGCTGCTAATATGATCCCAGCTCATGACAGTCCCTTGGCTGCTTTGGCTTTTGATGCGAGCGGTTCGAAACTTGCCACTGCCTCAGAGAAGGTAAGGTGTCTTGTATTGATCTGCCTGCAATGATAAACTGAAGTGGTCTGAAACAAATTTTGTTTTTAAGTGTGCACAGTTGTGCCCACAAGTACCAAAAAAGAAGGCCTGGAGTTGTAACAAGACTTAAGTTCAGAACTGTTAATTATATTTGACTAAACTTCCAAGCTGCAAAGTGTTGGATAATAAGGTTATTTGAATAAGTACGTTGTAATCAGGCTGTAATCAGGGCAGTCCTCTCGTTGCTGCTGCTGTCAGTGCAGGTACTTACTAGAAATCAGATGGTATTGCTTTGATGCTATCTTTCTAATGAAAGCCACACAGTTAAAGTCAGAGAGTTGTCTTGCCTGGCTTTGGCACATGATGACAAATGGTCTGAACTGTAGAAATCCAAAAGCATGAAGCCTTTGCTGTCTGGCTAATAAGCTTGGAATATAAAGGTGTAGTGTGATTGCACCTGATAAAGGCAAAAAGGCATCCAGATGAGTGTGCTTACAGATAACAAGCATGGTTGTTTTCATGATCAAATGTAATGAGAGGAGCTGTTCTTGATGCACAGCTTGTACTCTACATGAGTAGCTCCCACCTTGTTGTTTCCCCATTCTTCAAACACGTCTTACAAACAAGCTCTATAAATATTTCATGCTAGTATGTGGTGTGCATCAGCTGTGCTAAGTGCTAAGTTAACAGCAAAATGGTTAGTTGTACTCTGCTCACTAGTGCTAATGTACAGTGGGAGGACTTGAAATGATAATGGAAGATGACTTTTTTTTCCTTTGCAGGGGACAGTGATAAGAGTGTTTTCCATTCCAGAGGGACAGAAACTGTTTGAATTCCGGAGGGGAGTGAAGAGGTAAAGCTGATCCACGGTGGTTATCTGAAGCTCATTCCTTACAATAGATCTCCAGTGTGCTCTGTGGCTGAGCTAGCTTCCTAATTATTGCCTGTTGTTGTATTCCTCCAACCCTGCCTGTATGCTTACCACATTTTCAGTTTGAATGTCTTCCAACTTCTCTTCTTAAGACTTGACTATTCTACAAATCAATCCTGTCAGGATTTTACTTCCTCTCACATTTTAAAAATTCATTGGCAAGGAAACTTGTTTAAAGTGGATCAAGTCTTGTAAGATATATTATATTTTTAAGGCAAATGGAAGCAATACATCTAATTTTCTCCATCTTTTAAACCCTGCTTGTACCGTAGCCATTGAAAGTCATTTTGACATTGTTCTGCAGTTTGTGGTGGTGGTAACTCTAGCTGTACTCTACTTCATGTAGAGGTAAGGCTGAGTTCAGATTGTTCCTGGTTGGGCCCCCCATATCTGGTATTTGTCAGAGTTAACTGTCAATTAAAATGTTGTTAAGGGGGCTCTTGCTCTTGAACAGCTTTAGGAAGATATTGGGAGATTCAGAATGCTTTACTATGGAAATGGGTTTTTTCTTATTATTTACAAAGCAGCATTGACTGAGAAATCTGTTCAAGCCAGTCACTTTGGGTAAACTGCAGCTCACCTGTAATCTGACAGAAGAAAAGGAGCTTGTGATTTTACTGTGCAGCCACAGTTCCTTCCTGCTATTCCAGCACATCTCATGTGAATGCTCTGGAGTTTCTTAGTGGTGACTGTCTGGGAAGACTTCTTTCTACCTACCTACCAAGAGGAAGAAATATCCCCATTTAAGTCAGTTCCCACGAGTCACTTAACCCTGGCTTTTTCTAATACCAGATGCTTTTGCATTAGAAGGTCAAAAATAACGCTTTGTTGTTTCTTTCCTCTCTGTGCCTTCCCACTAGGTGTGTGAGCATCTGCTCGTTGGCTTTCAGCATGGATGGCATGTTTCTGTCTGCATCCAGCAACACAGAGACAGTGCATATCTTCAAACTTGAGACTGTGAAAGAAAAGTAAGTCTCAGAGGTGCCTTGGGCTTTTCAAGGAAATGGAAAAAAAAATAGGATGAGCTCTTCAAAGAGTGAACAGACTTCATTTGAACGCTTTAAAATAAAGGACACGACAAATCAGTCATGAATCAGCAGCTGTTCCTCATCTACCTATTGTTCTTGTAATTAATAGGATAAGTATTGCTGCCAAAGAGGAATTGGGCATCCTTGGCAGAGGAATGTGAGGGCAATTTGTTTTTATTTATATTTTTTCACCTCTGACATCCATTATGGAAGATCTGTCTCAGCAGAACCTTCCAGCTGCCTTCATGGTTCTAAAAAGCACCGTGTTGTAAAATGTTTCTATTTACAGTTTGAGAAGACAGTCTTATTTATAACTTTTGTTGGAGACGGTGGTTTGGTTATTGATTAAACAGGTGAATAATATCTGGAAGTGCAGCTCTTTACAGTAGGTCTTATTTTTGTATAATAACCGTTACGAAACGCAGCTGTATAAACAGAAGTATCCATTTACAATAGGACATGCTTTAGCAACAGGCTGAGGGTATTATAGGACATACTGTGCCCTGCAGTGTAAATTGAGTGCATTGAGATCTCAGGGCTGTCAGTAATCCCTGAAGACAAACAAGTAACTGTTTAATCTCTTTCAAAATGAAAAGAGGTTTTGCAGTGTTGACCCGCCTCTTTCTCCATTTTGAGGTCGAAGTTCGACACATCTCTCTTGTTTCTTCCGAATTGTAGACCTCAGGAAGAGCCTACAACCTGGACAGGTTACTTTGGAAAAGTACTGATGGCCTCAACAAGCTATCTGCCCTCTCAAGTAACAGAGATGTTCAACCAGGGCAGAGCCTTTGCTACAGTCCGCCTGCCGTTCTGTGGGCACAAAAATATCTGTGCACTTGCCACGTGAGTAAAGCAATGGTACTTGCATTCACCACCTGCTGGGTTGCCACATAGAGCTACAGCAAAGCAGGCACTGGAGGGTTACTTCATCTCCAGCTGAGTGGATAGCACTCAGAGGAATTGGGTTGCTGTCGTGCTTTCAGAGCCTCTTCTGGCTTAAGAGCTGTGTTGGAGCTCATGGTCCTGTGAGAGGCAGAAAGCACGGTGTTTGGATAAGCAGTTGACTATTGAAGAGTTGTTTGAAGATGTCTTCTGATTTGCAGAGAAGTCTGTTGAGAACAGATCTGTGGGCTTAAGGCATTTACTTTGCTGCAAAGTAAAGCAATTTGGACTAGCGGTTAAAGAAGTCCTTGAAAGCAAATCTGTGTTGTTCTTGTCTCCAAAACTGCATAGCATTCATTGGAGTTAATTTTGAGAACTCAGTATAACCTTCTTTGTCATCTCCAAAGGCAGGACCCATTTGGCACATCTACCAAAGCAATGAGCTGAGCAGTAGTAAATGTATTTTATGGAGGTTCTGGGGTTTGTGTGCTTCATTTGCTTCATGTCTGCGTCTCTCTCCTCTGATCTCAAAGCACCCTTTAAGCAATAATTAAGCTTTGTAGCATTTCTGAAGAAAGGAAATACTTCTCCAGAGACAAATACTATAACCTGTTGTGCAAAGCTGATTATCAGGATGGTAACTTCTCAGTTTGCTTTCCTGGGTGAACTGCTTGATTCCCAGGGCATCCTATCAGCCCCATTGTAGTTACACCTTATTTTTGCATGTAGCTGCTTCCCAGGTGTTCTGTCTGTGCAGCTGGTAGCAGTATTGCCTATCTAGGAGAAGCAAGTGTGGAAAATAACAGCTTGAAATCACAGGAGAAGAGGAGAGGGTGCTGATATGACACTTAAGCTCTCATTAATTTCCTCTGACCGTTCCTAGAATTCAGAAGATCCCTCGTTTATTGGTGGGAGCTGCTGATGGGTATCTCTACATGTACAACCTAGACCCCCAAGAAGGAGGAGAGTGCACACTAATGAAGCAGCACAAGTAAGTTCACGTTAGTTGAGAACTGTTGCTTTTATTTTTTCATTTCTTTTATTGCTTCACAAAATTCAGTTTGTTCTTAATCTTAGTTCCATGCTGCAGAGGTCTGACTTAGAACAGCTCGTTTCTTTACACTGGCTTTTTATCAGACCTCTGACATGAAAGTGTAACTTCAGAATCCCCTTGTGCCACCCTTCCTTGTACCATCTACACTAAGCACTGCTTTACCAGCAGAAACTTAACACTGCCCAACTGCAGTGAAGAACCAATTGCTGTTAGCTGTGTGATCCCATTTCCTCTTTCTCTGCAGTTTAAGTTACTTTGACAAGAACCTGAAGCATCTGACACCGTTCCCTTCATCAATAAATCAAGCAGTTAGAGGAACAAGAAAGTGTTACTCTAACTTCATGGGGGGGAAATCTGGCCTATGAAATTGTATCTGTATTGTCTCGGTGCCCTTATTAAGATTCCTTGCATGTAGAGCAGCCAAACAATGTTTTGTAGCAGTACTGTAGAATACTTAAGGAGATATGACAGGGCCTTGTTATTTTTTCTAAGATTTGAAGGGAACAGATAGGGTAATACAATTGCTTTACTTACATGATCGATCATACCATCAAACCCTGGTGTGATGTTACATATCCCCTGCACGATGACAGAAGCACATGGAATTGGAAGCAATGACTGCCTTCCCTGAAGAGACCACACTCTTCCCATTGTATTCTCACACATCTAATGAGATGTTCTTGTGTAGCTGTCAGCTAAGGCTGTGTTACATCCAGCCAGCTCACCTCTCCATCTAACACTTCTCGGCAGGCTCGATGGCAGCATGGAGCCGGCCAACGAGATCCTGGAGTCTGCATCCCACGACCGGCCGCTGGTGGCGCAGCCGTACAGCGCTGCTGGGACTAAAGGTACATACGTGCCTTCCTCACCCACAAGGCATGGTAAGGAGAAGGCTGGGGACGGGGCAGGGTGCCTCTGCATGTTGCTGCCTTCCAGATGGCTGCGTGAGCTCGTCTGCTTCAGCGCTGAGCTTTTCATAGCTGTGAGAGTGATGTGAGGCCCTGGTGAGTGGTAGGAGAGCACTGCCATGTACGCGGCTTTCTGCAGGTGAACTACTCGTCTGTGCTGCTTTGTGGGCACAGCGTTGTTTTGAATTGTGTTCACTTACTTCAGTAATAGTTGCAGTACTTGCCAAATGGTTCTTGAGGTGCTGTAATTATTTTATGAAGGAGTTCTGAGCCCAGACCTCCAGCAAAGCGTCTGAATTTGTAGCACTTTTTTTTTTTGTCTGTGATGTTGTGTTCCTGTAGTTCCTTATGGCAGTTGTGACCTTTTAGCCTGATTTTGCTGCTCTGTTAAGTTGAGAGGATGAGAATTTAGTTTATGCTGGAGTTCCCAAGTGAGTAGAGCTTGTGTATATGGCTCTTAGCATCTTTGTATAGCACTTGGGCTAATGTTTCAGCTGTGGAGGAAGCATAGTCTGCACATACAGCATCAATTCTGCAGTTGCAGCTGTAATGGATGGGTAGAGAGTACAAAAACATAACTGCCCCGAAGCAACAATATGCATTGCACGCATGCAGAGTAATCACAAACTGCTCTTGGCTTGGAGAAACGTGGTCATAATGAAGGCAAACATAGGGTGGCAGTGAAACTGTTGCAAATAACGTCTGGTACTTCAGCTGGAATGGCTGCTTTGTTGGATCCAAGCCTTGGTTTGTGCTGCTGATCATCAAACTCCTGCTCCCTTTCTTTGCAGCTTATCCGGATGACCTGGGAGCTGTGGGTGGAGCTTGCCTGGAAGACGAAACCAACTCGCTCAGATTGGATGAAGACAGTGAGCATCCCCCCATGATCCTCCGGACAGACTGAACTTTGACCTGTGAACTCACTCCTGAAGCAGAGAACACTGGCTTGATGTTTCTTGAGGAATCTCGTGTTATGCTGCTATGAACTTTGACATGAGCTGGGAGAGAGGATGACAGACTCTTACAGTTTTAAGTCGTAGCTGTAGTTCTAATTCTATACCATTGGAAAAAAAATATATGGTTTTCAATTCAGTGGCTTTTAATCTTGCTTATCTATTTTAGCTGTGTTTTTTGTTGTTTTTTTTCATTGCCAAAACCTGCTGTTTGTGCAGCCCTCGGGGCCTACTAGCTTTGCATGCGTTCATGTGCCAAGCAAGCATAGGAGGGGAGAGAGAGAGAAGCCACTTTATAACAAACTCAAGTTTGTATTTTTTTTATATATGTATATAATACTTAGCTTATATGAGGAAGGAGCAGAGAAGTGGTTTTGGAAGCTGAGACTAGTTCTGCACTGACAAAGGTCCAAATGGTTTCCTGTGCATGGGCTTGCAGGCATACCTAGTGACTGACATGCAATCTTTCAAATGCAATGGCCTGGTTTTTTTGGTTTTTTTTTTTTTGTTGTTGTTTTTTTTTTTGTTTTTTTTGGGTTCTCCCTCCCCTTTCCTGGACCATTTTGTTAATTAAAATTCCTTCTGAATGTTGTGTGTTTGTGGGAGTGTTCTGTTGGTTGGGACTGAAAACTGGAAATGTTTCCCTGCGTGAGGATATAGAATCTAGGAAGTGCCTTTACAGGGAGGAATAGAGTTGCTGCAGGAAGAAAGCTGGAAGGAAGGAGGAATTGCTAGAGGCTTTGTGTACACCTCTGGTACTTGGGCATCTGTAGCCCACGGTGGCTGATGTTTGTTTTGGTTTGGTTTTTAGGGATGCACTTTCTCTCCTGTAGGTTGTTCTGTTTCCTTGGCAGAGTAGCAATAATAACTTTTTTTTTTTAATACCTTTATTAATTATCCAAAGCAATGATTCTATCAGACTAGATGGAAGCTCCTGCAGGGTGTGGCAGCCCTATTATTTAAACAGCCTTAAGGTTTTCAGCTGGAAGGCATAACTCTCAGTCCTTTCTTCTCTTCAGCTTGGGGCTGACTGCACTGCTCTGATAGTGAAGGTTCGGGGCTATTTTCCAGATGCTGGTGTAAATAGAAATGATTTTAAAAGGTTCATTTTCTTCTGGGTTCTCTTCTGTTGGATAACCATGCTCTTGTTTTCATTTCCCTTTCTGTCAGAGCACCTCCTGTGTTACTCCCCAAGGACTGGCTGTCTCTGGCAACTTTGGAATAAATCCTTTAACAGCCCTGACCCTGCCTGGGGCTGCCCAAGGCTGAGCAGTGCTGCAGTCTGTTTTTAGGGTTGTAATGTGCCTTCTCTTAAGTGGATAACAGTTAGTGAACAAACGATTAGCAAAGCACTTGGTGAGTGTGACTTTCCTTTGCCAAAATGAACCTGGTTTGCCTTCTGTGCAGCGATGTGGGATGCTTCCCTTGGCTCTGCTGCCTGTTTGCAAAGAAGTGAAAATAGAGGTAGACAAGGAAACTGCAGATCTTGAGGGCAGAACCCTGACTTCACTGTGTGTGTGAACTTCCTACCACTGCTGAATGGTGACTGTTAGGTGCTGTTAGGATTGGGTACCACTGATAGGTCTGCTGTCAAGCAGTCGGTTGTGGCTGTTCTTCCCAGAGCTCTGTGGTGAGGTGGGCTTCCATTCCATTTCTGAACAATGATGCCTCCTGCCTAAGGGAGCTACCTGTATCAGCAAGGCTGCTGTTAACCATTCTTATAAAACTTCTGGGAAGTAAGGGATCAGGCTTGTGTATTCTGAAAACCCTTGGCTGTCCTGAACAGTTGATCAGTTTGTGGCATCCTCTCCACGATTCAGCACATCCAAAGCAAGCTGCTGAGCCGTGCTGGAATCTCACACGGTCTCCTAACTTTAAACTCTGGCTGACAACTAAATTCCATGATCTGGAATTACTTTCTTTTCTTTTTTTTTACTAGTGCTATCAGCTTTTCTGTGAAGCACCTCACTGCAGAGTAAAACACAAGTCTTAAATGTGAGCTTTGCTGGCAGACTGAACCCCATGGGAGCTGTCAGATGTCTGCTTGCTCCAGACTAAGGCTGGTGACATTGCTGATGATGTACCTGGAGGCTTGGCACAGACTACAAACAGAGCTCAGCAGTCAGCACACATGAGCAAGGCAGGTATGCTAAGCACAAGTTTTAGAACTTCTGGGTTGTAGCAAAGGCCATATTACATAGCAAGATACTGCTATCACCTCTAATATGTTTACTATCCTTTACTGCCAAAAACTGAGGTACTTATACAGATGTTTATCCTTTCTTAGTTTTTACACCTGGGTATTTTGCATTGGTGAGTTGGGAGATCCTGTATTCACTGTAGTTTTCTTCTGTGTGCTGCTGTGTCCTGTGCCACGGACTGACTGGTGACACTGTGAACCCTGTTTGCTTTGCTCCTAATTGGAAGCCTGTTCAAGTTGTGGGGTTTTTTTCCTGTTTTAATAAGGAAGGTCTCCTTAGAGAGCAAAAGTAGAAGTGTTCTGGGGTGAGTGAGCAACGTGGAGCTAGGATGGAGCAGGAGGTGTGTGGTCCCAGCTGATGGTGGTGTTCAAGTTCATTATATGAGGATGTATTTATTTCCTTGGATAAACACAACTAATCTCATTTCCCTCAGTAACTGCCCTGCTGTAGTATGCTGCCAAAGTTTCCATCCCTTCAGGATGGGGTTTCATCCCAATGACACGAGTGCATACTTGGTTTTTTTCCTCCCTTTAAACATACCAGAAATGCTGTTTGCAGCTGAGTGTGGAGCTGAACTCTGCTGCTCCGTGGATCAGGTGGTGCCAAGTGTTTCTATTCTGATGGTCCTACAGCCCCAGGTTCCCCAGGGCAGCCTGCAGGTGGCTGTGTGGCAACTGTACAGCCTCTCATTTGGGGCTGACCTTCCTTGGAAGGACAGTGCTTGTTTTGTGTCAGTGAGCATCTCTGGATATGGGCTGTACCTCTTGACCCTCATCAAGTGTTAGGGACAGAAATGGACAACAGAAACAACCAAAGCTGGGGGAGAGGGGAGGAGGGAAATGCTTTTAAACTTGGAATCTGAAACTCAGGTCTTAAATTGCGGTGGGATCTGATCCCAGTGAGTACTGTAGGGAAAGAGCTGTTTCACTTGATGTGCAAATAGGCAGCAAGTGTGCACGCTTTGCTGCTGTCTCGACAGCTGTGTGTTTACCCTATTTCATCTTTCATGTGCTGAGGCAGACAGCTTTTATCTGCTCTGGACTCTTCTTATGTCAGAGTTTCCAAAACACGAGAGATAGATACACATCTAGCAGTTACAAGGCTGGGCCTGGCAGAGGAGCAGGAAGTGAGAAGTGCAATGAGATTAGCAAAGGCTGTGTGTTCAGAGGCTCTGTTCAGCAAGACCAGTTGTGTGAGTTCTCCCTCTGGCACCCCGGGTCCTGGGTGAGTTCCTTACACCTATTTCTATGGAGATTGGTTGGGAGCAGAGGGGAGGGGGTTGTCCACGTGGGCCTCAGTGCAGATCTCTGAGAGCTCTGAACACAGGGACGGGTGTCACCATGAAGGAAAGGTGTGTCTGACCTGAGTGTAATAGAAAAAGGGAGGGATGGAGTGAGGAGCCCCCAGGTCTGGGTATGTTAGCACAGAGACCTGAGGAGCTGATGAGCAGAAAGCTTTACATCCCGCGCTGTGCTCTCTTGGCTCTGATAATGGCATTAGCACCAAAGCAGCGTGCACTAAGACTGTAGAATTTCCTTCCTTGTAGCTTGCTGAGCTGCTCAGTGCACCACTTAGCCATGCAGGCGTTCTGCTGGTGTTTGCAGAGCAACAGGAGGCTTTGTCCAAGGCAGTGGTGGGGATTAACCACTGCAGAGGTTTGGAAGGTCCTGTTCTGTGCTCCAGATGTCCTGGCTAACAGTCTCCTTGGTTTAACATGTGAACATCTGAGAGCAAGGCAGAATGGCATCTGCACATGTGCGGAGCAGTCTTTCTGGAGTCTGTGCTGCACAAAGGAAGGCTTGCAATGAAGAAAGCGTGGCTCAGACTGTAAACGAATCCTTTCAGATTCCAGTTGCACAACGAGAGGAATTGAGCAAATTCCAATTATTTCAAACTGTAACATGCCTTTGTTTTTACCACACTTCAGATTGGCCAACCCCACCTTCCACTGCCTTGAAAGTAATGGGCGAGAAGTTGTCATCCTGGCTTGCAAACAGCTGCAGCTGTGCTCGGTGCAGGTGTGCTGGTGCTGTTGCTGTAGCAGTTGTGTGCTGCCTTCCCCGCTGCCTTTGCATGTGTCCAACTCGTTTCTCAGGAGTGGTGAGTTGTTCCCAAGCCTGCACCTCTCCGGGTTCCTATGGGGCATCAGCTCAACCCTTTCTCTACTTGGATCTGTTTGCTTTTGCTTCTGCACCCCCCCAAATGAAAAACCACACTGCACCCTGCAGTTCTCACCTGCTGTTCAATATCTCTGTTGATAAGTGGAGAAATCTGCCTGACATTCCGCCTCCCCAGGTGTGTGGCTCTCACTGCTGGCCCATCGCTCTTTGTAATTTTATAACTGCATAAGCAATTAAATGTGTTGTGATAAGTATTTGGTGTCTTCTTCCTTCCGTGTGCTGCTTGAAGTTGGGGCCGGATGAGCTGAAGGTGATGCTGTGTGTTCTGGATGGTGTGGCCCGAACCCAGCTGCCAGCAGTAGTAAACCTTCAGTCTTTGCTGTGTAGCAGCTCCCAAAGAAACTCAGCTTGGCTTTTGCTGAGACTGGGGAAGGACCAGCTGAGCTGCTTCTGGTATATTGTGCTGGAAACCAGGATTTTGCCCCTCCTCCTCCTTAATGCTCTTCTTGAGGGGCCTGGGTTTGCGTTTTTCTCCTGTTCCTCAGGTGAGTTTAGGTGACTTCCTTTGTACTTCATTCTGTGGGTTGCATCTGTAGCAGTGCTTCCACATATGTTCTGTTTGCTGTGCTGTCACTCAGAGCTTGCTGCTGCTCACCTTCAGCCCAGGGGGGATTTCTGGAGTGAGCCATGCAGGTGGGTGAGGCGACATCTCCTGTGTGCCTCCTTTCCTTTGCAAAACTGTGACCAAACCCTCCCAGCAGGGTGGGTGACAGAGGGAGCCTGCTGTCTGGTGGTGGAGGAGCACACGGTGATGGAAGGTCTTCATTCTTGTGCACGGCTGTTGTGCAGTGAAGCTGCAGACGTCTCCTTTCCTGATCTGGCTCTGGAGAGCAATGTTTTCCTGCTGGTGCCATTTATGTGCCGCCCCTTGCTGCAGGCAGAATCAGCTGTGTTAGCACGGATGAGTGATTCTAAACTGTTCATTCAGCTGCTGATGACGTTTCCCTTCTTCTGCCTGGAGCAAGCTGCGGATCAGAGGAGGCTGTTTGCATTCAGTGAGAGGCAGTGACTTCCAGGTGAGGTGGTGGCACCTTTGTCCCCGTGCCCAAGGTGGGAGTGCTCACCTGGACCCATTGGTGACACAGGAGGTGCGGCTGCTGCTCTGCTACCCTGCATGTGGATCACTGCAAAGCATCATCAGAGGTGAACCTTTGGGCCAGAAATGCTGCCTGGTGTGGAAATCCTGATGATGGGTTTGTACCATTGAAGCAAGCAGCTGCAGTTGTGTTCAGACCGGTGGTCTTGCATGTGTGTGCTTATCCAGCCCTGAGCACACACCTCTCATGTGCTGCTTCTGTCCTGCACGGCTCTGCCAGGCCCTGAGCACAGACTTCTTCAGCTAATTAAGGGTGTGCTGTGAGCTAATGAGGGCTTCCTGCCCAACCTGCTGGAGGTGAGGAAATCTGATGCTGGCTGTTCCAGCACCTGGGTGCGCTTTCTTTTCTTAGCAGTAAGTTTTTAGAAGGCTGCACAGTGAGGTCATAATAAAGGATTTCAGATTTGTAAAATCCAGGTAAGCCCATAATGTTAAGCCAGAGGATTTTGACAGTACTGTGATGTTCTGAGTGCTTTTCCAGGGGCAAAAAGCCCTGAGAGAGCCACAGGCTGGCATGGGCTGCAGTGAGGTGTGCTAAGGAGTGCTGAGCAATGCAGAGCAGCAGCTCTGCACGGCATGGAGGCTGCCACCCTTGGGTGCCCCACACCCCTAGCTCAGTACCATGAACACGGAGCTGTGCTGGGGGTCGGGGGGAGCCGGGCTCTGCCACCCAGCAGCCGCTAGATGGGGTGTGCTGCCCGGCCCGGAGCAGCCCTGCTCCTTCCTCAGTGAGTCTCCATCGCATCCATCCCTACTTCTTTCATCCCTTCCCCTCCCTGCAGCCCTTCTCTGCTCCCCATCCATCCCAGAGCTCAGATCTGCTGCTCAGATCCCCTTCCCAGCACCCCAGCTGCGTGCCACGAACAGGATGGGGGAAATTGCCCCATGTTGAGCCCAGCCCCAGAGCTGCAAAGCCCTGGCAAACAGTGCAGGATGCTGCATGTTCAGCACTGCTGGGGCCTGTGAGCCCTTCCCTCCCCCCAGGCAGTGTGGAGGTCTCTGCCCTGCAGCCCCTCATCACCTCGTGACCCCATCGGGTGGCACTGAGCATCTCCTTTCCCTTTCACCCCAAAACCACTTCAAAACCCAGAGCAGGGAGGCAGAGGTGGGAGCCTCATCCCTTTCCTTCTTCACCATTCAGGTGCCGAGCAGCCTTTCATGTCTCCCGAGGCCATTTGCATTTCAAGCAGTTGGGTGGCGATTTCTCTTTCAGTAACTCATTTCAGAGGGTGAAGTGGAGTTGGAAGCCAAGTGATGCGCGGGGAAAGGTGGCCTCTGAAGCCCCAAAGAGCAGCCACTGCCAGCCCTGCTGCAGCTGCACACCCTGAGCCCATCTCCAATCCTCGAGGCCCCCCCCCCCCCCCCTCACACCAGGAGGGAAAACATCCCCACCTCCCTGCAGCTCTGCATTGCCATCGGGCTGCAGCACATCAAGGCCCTGTAAATCAAATATTACCAAAAAAAAAGGAAGAAAAGCAACCTGCAGCCCATTGCCTGCCTGCTTTCGGGGTGTGCTGTGCTCTCGTGCTGTTGTCTCAGCTGTTTGCAGGGCACGGCCCCATGCTCAGTGTCTGCTTGTTTGTGTTGGTGCCGCGGGAGCTGCTGCGCTCTGGGATATTCAATTACCTCCGGAGTGCTGCAGCCGTGTCAGCTTGTGTTGGAGCAATGGGGATGGGGGGGTGTGGGGCTGGGGATCTGGGAGGCTGGGATTTGTGCTTTGTTTGTTCCTTAAATAGCTTTTAAATGGAGCTGGACCTGGGTAGAGCCGTGCCACAGTGTGAGAAAAGAGGGGGGGGGGGCAGATAAAAATGGCTGTGTTTATAGGGGATGTGATGGAGGGGAAGAAAAACACTCTTCTTCCCCCTCCCCCCCCCCAGCAGCTCCTTTACCCCCCATATGATTCTGGGGAGAGGGGGACCTAATGTGTTTTTTGGGGGGGTCCCACTCCCCCCCAGCAGTGCTGGCCCTGCAGCCTCCCCCAGGTCTGGCTGCAAACAGCTGCATGTGCTGCTGGTTGTGCAGTTGATGGCATAAATACATAATTCTGTTCTTATTCAATTAGGATTTTAGCACACAATCAGGTGATGGCTCTAAGAGGATTTCCTCTAAGGCAGGATTTGAATAACTGGGCTGTGAATTATGTATTCCCTTAACCGGTTTATTCCTTTATCAGATTTTTTTTTCCCCCTAAGCACTTTAATGCATTGACTTCCCCATTGTCCCCGCTGTTTGCAGCGCTCCCCCTCCCCAAAGCTGATGCAAATCCTCCCCCCTGTGCGGTGGTAACGTGCAGTGTGTGCCAATGGAGGCCAACCCTTCGTGTGTGCTGCGGTTTGTGGGGGGTGGGTGCCCTGGTTGTGGGGCTGGAAGTGGCTCTGATGCTCTATGGGGAGCCTGGAGGGTGCAGTGCCAGATTTGGAGGGGGGGTGGTTTGTGGGGGTCTGTGTTGGGATGGGAGAGGTGGAGCGGGGCACAACCTGCATGTCAACAACAGCACGACTGTGCAGCCTGGGTGGGCTGTGGGCATTGGTGACAGGAAAAGAAGATTCCCCCCCCCCCCCCCCCCCCCCCAAAACCGGCCCCCGGGGGCGGGGGTCTGCTGCGATAGCCCATGGTGCTTGGGCTGGGGGGGGCTTTGGGTTGGGGTTGGATGCAGTCTGTGTATGGCTGAGTGCCCGTGGGGTGCGATTGGCAGGTCCTTCCAGCAGAGGGTTTACTCTGGAGCAGCCTGGAGACGGGAGGACAGGATGTGCTGATCTCCAGGAATGGCCCCCGGGCTGTGCTGTGCTCCAGCTCTGTAGTTTCACCACATCCAGAGGAGCTCAGGTTGTTCTGGGGGTCCTTTGGAGCCCCCCAGTGTGGGGGGAAAAAGCAAATCGAAGGTGGATCCTGGGGGGTGTCACCATTTTCTCCTGCTGGAGGAAAATCTCTGCTTTCCACCTGCCCTGTAAGGATGAGTGGGAGCTGCTGGGGGGCCCCCCTGTGCACCCAGTGCTGATTGTCTCCTTCACATCCCCCCCCCCCACCCCGTGCTGTGCGTGCGTGCAGCGATTATGCAAAGTTGCAATCAAGGAGCTGAATTAGCAGCTCATCTTGGATTAATTAGCGAGGGATGCAAATTTGCTCCAACAGGAAAAGAGGAAAGGAGGGGAACAAGGCTGAGGTCCCCCCTGGTTCCTGCAGCCCTCACAGCGCAGCGGTGAGCAGAGCGATGTGCCGTAATGGGGCAACCCCTAAATTGAAGTGCTGTCCTTCAATCCCCAATATCTCTGTGCAAAGGCAACGCCGGGGGGTCGGTGTGCATTTCAGTGCAGCTCTGGGGGAAGGATGGGGGGAGCTGCAGTGTTGGTTAAAGAAGGGTTTCCAGGAGGGGATTGAATGGGGAAAGCACCATATCATGGTCTGTGAAGTGGAAGAGATGGAAGCATGGTGCTCCTGGGAGCACTGAGCTGGGCTGTGGGCTCAGGGGGGTCAGTGGGTTTGTGGGATGGCTTTGGCAGTGTGCTGGGATGCTCCTGAAAGGGCTCTCTTTTCTCTCACGTCTGCAGTGATGACAAGTAACGAAACCCAACTCTGCTGGAAGGAAGAGCATTTCTGGAGGCTGCCCCCATCCAGCATCTCCCGGCCAAATGAGGTGGCATCACCTCGTTCCTCCCTGTGGAATTAATCAGCGCTCGGAGCAGTGAGGTGAGGCCCAGATGGAAAAGGGAAGAAATGCCTCCAAACTGCTGTGCTCTACAGCCTGAAGCACTGACATGTGGTGAGGGATGCTCTGCTGTTTGATGGCCCAGGGGAGGCCCCGGATCTGAGCTGTGGGACGTCCCCAGTGCCACTGGGACTGGTCCAGCATCGCCCCCCCTGCATGCAGAGCACTGCAGCTGGTGGGATTTTGAGCCTTTAAAGTGGGTCAAGCGGAAACCCGGGGAGCATCCAAGCTCACAGCCCTCGTGCCAGCTCCATCACAGCTGAATTATTCAGGTCCGGCTGAAAAATTGAAGAGTGGCAAAGCTCAGTGGGAACACCCAGCTCAGGGCTGCAGCACGGGGCACCGTGGGAGGGCAGCAGGGTCTGGTGCTGCCTTTTGGGAGGGTGAAGTGAGGAGAGAGCGCTCAGAAGGGATTCGTGGCAGGGCTGCCCTGAGCCACAGAGGTTTCTGTGCGTTTGTTGCTGGGGTTGGGAGCGCATCTTTGGCTCCATGCCTGCTTCCAGCCCCGTCTCTGTGTTGCAAACAGCAAGGCTTTGTGGCCTCACTTCAGCCCTGTGCGCATATCCTGGGGTCACTTTTGGGATTTGCACCCCCTGCAGCACTGAGCTGAAGGGAGTTGGCGAACTCCTCCTGCCCTGAATTGGAGATGATGGGGTTGTGTGATTTCAAGGTAAAATCAGTGGCTGCTGCCTCGAGGTGTGTGCTCACAGCATCTCCCGGAACCCCAGATCCTCTCTAAGGTGATGAGGATGCTGACGTGAGCGCGGGGGCTTCTATAGGCCCGACAGCTGCTATAGGACCCCTGGCTTAGCTGTGTGGCAGAAGAGCTGGGATTGCTGCTGGGTGAGTAACGCTGCCGGCAGCGCGGAGGCAGCAGGGGAAAGCCGTGCACAGATGCTGCAGCTCGCCCTGCTCTTTTTGTGCGGCGCTCACACTGTGCTGATGCCAAGCTGGGATTCTTTGGTGCCTCGTAAGGCTGTGCTGCTCCATCCCTGCCCTGGGGGTGGGGTCATGGGAGTCCCCCATCTTTACAACCCAATTGGGGCTGAGGGCTCCTGCCCTGCTCAAGAGGGTGGGACGCTTGTGCTGTCCCTGCATGCAGCCCCTGCTTGGGAACGTGCATCCTCTCCCCTGCCACGTGTCCCCACCACTCCACACTGCTGGTTCCCCACTTCCACTCCCAGTGATGATGAGGAGAGGAATCCTTTGCTGACCCTACAACCCTTCAGTTTTCTGCATGCTGCATCGCCTCCATCTTGCCCATCTTTGGAGGCATTTATGGCCAGGTTGGACCGGAGGGGCGACAACCACCACACTGCAGGGAGTTGGAACAGTGATTTTTGATGTCTCCCCAACCTCTGTGATGCATTTGTCCATCAGTCTGTTCTCTCCATCCGTCTGCCCACCTCTCCAGCCGTCCACCATAACTGTACACCCATCCATCCTATCCGTACTTCTGTCCATCCATCCTGTCTCTACCCTCATCCATTTATCCATCCATCCCTCTGTTCAGCACGCAGAATTTTTGCTGGAGCTGTTCAAGAAACGTGGAGATGTTGTGCCAAGGGAGGTGGTTTGGTGGGAAATACTGGTGATGTGTGGACTGGGGGATTGGCTGCTCTTGGAGGTCTTTTCCAGCCTTGTTGATTCTATGATCATCCATCCATCCCTCTTTGGACCTGCCAATGCTGGACCTCATGTTTGGAGGGGAAGAGAAAGCTCCCTGCAACGGGAGCAAAGCTCGAGTGTCCTAAATGAAACGAGGAACGGTTTTTCATGTCGCTGAACGCTCTGTTTGCAGCCCCGCACCTGCGGGCGGTCCCTAGGGGCGGTCCCTATGGGGCCGCGTCTGTAGGCAGGGCCGTGAAGGCGCTCCGTTCGGCAGAAAAGCCATTTGTGCGCCTCGGGGCCATCGCTGCCGGGGAGGGGCGGCGGAGGGCTGGGAGGGGCGGGAGGTGGGGACGGAGCCGCCCCCGTTCGGAGCCGCCGCCGCCGCGTTCGCCGGTGCCCCCACCCCGAGAACGGAGCTCCGCGATGGAGAGGCCGGGGGGATCCGCCGGGGGCTGAGGCGGCTGAAGGGCCGGTGCCGCAGAGCTGGCGAGGAGGAGGGAGGTAAGAGCGGTGCCGACCTGTTGGGCGAGAACGGGACCGGCTTTGTCTGGGGCTGGGGGGGGAAACGGGGCTGGGCGGAGGGGAGGGAAGGGAAGGGAGGGAGACGAACCCCTGTCTCAGACCCACCTCTCCTCCCCGGCATCCTCGCCTCGACCGCGCATCTCCTCCGGTGGGGTTTGATGAATCCCCAAGATGGGGAGCCTTTTTTTTGCCAGAACAAAATAATCACGGTGATAAAATCATCCCCCGTGGAAGCGCCTCCTTTTGGCAAGGACCCTTTTCCCGATTATAATCATCATCATCTCATCCCCAATGGAAGCATCCTCTGCTCTTTCCCGCACTCTGCGCCCACCCGGAGAGGTGACAGGCCCCGGCCCTCCTCCCTGTAAATCCAAAAGGGAAAATAAGGCAGATTGATCCCGGGGTGGGGATGCAGGGGCGGCTGTGCAGCTCATCCCGTACCACGGAGAAGTTTGGGGCAGCACTGCTATCTATGGGGTGCTCCCAACCATCTCCAGACTGGAGGTTCTTAGAGGATAAAAGCCCCACGCTGGGCTCTGCCAGCACCCTGGGAGGTGCTTTCTGTTGGGTTTATCTCCTGGGGTGGCACCGGTGGATGGGGTCATCCAGATCCCCTGTGAGCCATGAAACGGAGCGATGCTCCCACTTGAAATGAGCCCTGGTGGGGCTCCAGGATGCATGCTGCCTTCAGCCTGGGTATGCTGGGGACCCTGACCTGCCCCCCAGCACTCTGACTTCTGCTTGGCCTCAGGGCCACAGCATCACCTCTCTGTCTGATGCGTTTTGGCATTTAGGCTTGCACTTGCAGGCTCTGTTTTTGCAGCCCGCCCCATCCTGGCAGCAGGGAAAGGCTGCAAAACCTCCGTGCCCCTGCAAAGAGATCAGACAAGTCACTTGAATTGATTTATTTTTTTCTCCTCCCTTGCCTGCCTCGTCCTGCCGCCTCCTCGGAGCTTCGTCTCTGCAGGGCGGTCGGTGGGCAGCGGGCACGGGGCAGGCTGGCATCTAGCGACTGGCACCGGTAATGCAGAGCGGGGCCCGGGGGATGGAGGGCATTTCGGGTGGTGCCGCAGGATGCCCGGTGGTGAAGCTGGGTTTAGGACGCGTTTGGTGTCGTCTCCACCCCTGGGGTCTGAACCAAAACTCACGAGGACCGTGGCTCATCTGTGACCCACAGCCTGGGGTCTCCCCTATCCCTCCCCAGACCGTCCACGATGGGATCGGTGGGAACGGAGCACCTCAAGGAGCTGAGCCCCATGGGGACACCCGAAGGCAACGTGGTGATGAGCTTCAGCTTCGACAGCTACCAGCTGGAGGAGGACGAGCTGCAGCGGGGCAGCCAGGCCAAGGGCGTGCTCACCTTCATGGAGCCGGGTGAGGGATGGGGATGGGATGGGAGGGAGCTGCCTCTCCCCGTGCTTTTCCCACCCGTTTAAGAGATCCTGGGATGGTTTTGTAGCCACAAATGGGCTGAAATGCTGTGACGTCAACTAATGTCTCTTTGGGGCTTGCTGTTGTCACCACAGCATCCTGTAGTACGGGGCTCTGTGGTTGGTACTCACCAGGTCTCTCCCCACACCGGCAGTTTTGGGGCTGCTTTAAAAACCCATCAGCACTCAGAGCCTTCAGCTCTGGTGTTTTTTCTGCCTCCTTCTTAAACACTTTCATTTCTGGGGGGACTTTCTCCAGGCTGAGGGTGTTTGTTCCCGAGAACTGCAGGGCTGCTTGCAGGACACGTTGAGCCCTGATGTCCCCACTGACGTGAAAGCTGCGTTCATTGCCCCACAGCTTCATCCGATGCAGTCCAGTGGGGCAGTGCCACTCAAGTTCTCTCTCTTTCTTTCCCTTTTGGGTCAGTTTCTGAAGACCCCGAGCCACAGGACCGATACCACGGGATCTACTTTGCCATGCTGCTGGCTGGCGTTGGATTTCTCCTTCCATACAACAGCTTCATCACAGATGTGGACTACCTGCACCACAAATACCCAGGTAGGGCTCCGGCAGCGGCAGCCCTTCCTGCTCCCCAAACCCGGGCAGAGCCCCCACCTCCTTCCTCTCTGCAGGGACCTCCATAGTCTTTGACATGAGCCTCACCTACATCCTGGTGGCCTTGGTGGCCGTCATCCTCAACAACGCGCTGGTGGAGCTGCTGAGCCTGCACACCCGCATCTCCGTGGGTGAGCTGGGCTCTCCGTGTCCCTGGGCAGCACTGCCTCCCTGCTGCCCCTTACCCACCTCCATCTCCCCCCCCCCCCAGGCTACCTCTTTGCCCTGGGCCCCCTGCTCTTCGTCAGTATCTGTGACGTCTGGCTGGAGCTCTTCACCCGACGGCAAGCCTACGCCATCAACTTGGTGGCTGTTGGGGTGGTGGCCTTTGGCTGCACAGGTATGCTGTGGTTGCCTGGGCCGACTTACCAGCCAGCCCTCACGTCCCGTTCCCCCTCCCCTATCCCGGTGTTTCAGCTGCTGCCATAATCCTCCTCCTTCTCCCCTCTGCCCCTCTCTCCTGAAGTGCAGCAATCCAGCTTCTATGGCTACACAGGGCTGCTGCCCAAGCGCTACACGCAGGGGGTGATGACAGGAGAGAGTGAGTATTGCCATCCCCCGTGTGCAGCAACCCACTGCCCCCAGCACCCAACCACAGAGCCCCTGCATGGCTGACGTTGGATGGGACCTTTGTGTCCATCTGGTCCCGCCTCCCTGGTCACCTGGAGAAGGTTGCCCAGGTCCCCATCCTGGTGGCTCTGGGGTTGCCAGCAACTTGGGAACATCCCAGGCTGATCCTGAGCAAAGCAGAATGGCCAATGGTGTCTAATCATGTGCATGGAACCGTTGAGGTTGGAGGAGACACCAACACATCCCATGCCCGCTAACCGTGTCCCTCATGCCGTGGCTCTTGAACACCTCCAGGGATGCTCCTCTACACATGCAGCACCCTACCCAAAGCAGGGGGAGGCTGCTGGGAGGTCCCTAGGCCATAGGGCTCCATGGGTCCTGGCACCAACACACTCCTGTGCCTCCAGGCACCGCCGGGGTCATCATCTCACTCAGCCGCATCTTCACCAAGCTGCTGCTGTCAGATGAGAAGGAGAACACCGTCATCTTCTTCTTCATCTCCATCGGCATGGAGCTGACGTGCTTCATCCTTCACCTCCTTGTGAAGCGCACTCGCTTTGTCCGCTATTACACCTCCTGTCCCCGCAAGGGCCGCCCCGAGCCCCGCAGGGCCAGCGACCACGGGACGGGCTACCACGTCCACCACGACGTCACTGCCGAGGACATCAGATTTGTAAGCAGGGGGGGACTTCCCGCTGATCCCTCATATCCCTCCCTCCCTGGGACTCAGCACTCCTGTCCCCGTGCAGGAGGACCGGCCGCAGGGACAGCTGGCATCTCCCCGTGGCAGCCCGGGCCCTGAAGCTGAGCTGGCCGGCAGCGGTACCTACATGCGCTTTGATGTGCCCACACCCAAAATCAAGAGGAGCTGGCCCAGCTTCAGAGGTGGGTGCTGGGCTCGGGGGTGAGCCGCGCTGATGGCTGCTGTGGGGTGTTTCCTGGGGCGGGAGGAGCGACCTGGGGGCTTTGTGCACAAAAACGTAGGGAGGAAATACATGTTAAAAAATACGGGGACGCTTCTTTGGGAGCCCTTCCCGCTTTCAGCGTTGCTCAGCAGCAGATGAGCACTGCGGGCTGTGCAGTGGCAGGGTTTCAGCCTCACTGCCCATCTCCACCAGCCATGCTGCTCCACCGCTACGTCGTGTCGCGGCTCATCTGGGCCTACATGCTGTCCATCGCCATGACCTACTTCATCACGCTGTGCCTTTTCCCCGGGCTGGAGTCGGAGATCCACAACTGCACGCTGGGGGAATGGCTGCCCATCCTCATCATGGCCATCTTCAACCTCTCCGACTTCGTTGGCAAGGTAGGAGGCATCGCTGCCGCCGTGCCGGGGGCTCGCCCCCTCCATCCCCACTGCCTGTGCGTGTCCTCAGGAGGAGGAGGGCGTGAGTGAGCCGTGGGCCATCCACGCTGTGGTTTCCAACCAGCACGAGGTTGTTCACCACCACGGCCGACGTTGGGTTCCCACATGCAGGCCTTCCCCCATCCTGTCTCCTCCCCGCTGCCCCGTTTTGGGTGCCGCATCGCCCTCTTCTCCCCTCAGCACGGTCTCTGCCCCTCCTGCAGATCCTGGCTGCCCTGCCTTACGACTGGAGAGGAACGCACCTCCTCGTCTACTCCTGCCTCCGCGTCGTCTTCATCCCCCTCTTCATCATGTGCGTCTACCCCAACGGTCAGCCCGCCTTCGGCCACCCCGCCTGGCCCTGCGTCTTCTCCCTCCTCATGGGCATCACCAACGGCTACTTTGGCAGCGTCCCCATGATCCTGGCTGCTGGCAAAGTGAGCCCCGAGCAACGGGAGCTGGCAGGTAGGGCTGCACCATCCATGGGCTGCCATGCGGGGCAGCCACGCAGGGTGACACCCTCTGTCCCTCTCTGCAGGGAACACCATGACCGTGTCCTACATGACGGGCTTGACGCTGGGCTCAGCCGTGGCTTATTTTGCCTACAGCCTCACCAGTACGTCCCACAGTAGCTGTTTCTACACTGAAACCTCCAACGGCTCCTTCCTGGGGGGGTACTGAGCCCCAGGACCGGGCAATGGGGCCAGGATGGCACCAGGCCCTGCTGCTGTCCCCAAAGGCCCTCACTGCCCACTCTGCTGGTCTCTGGGCGCTGTGCGGAGCCAATTCTTGGGCTGATGGCCCCCAGTGTCGTCGGTCCCAATGTTCCTGGGGTCTCCCCCTGGGCAGTGGTGGTGGGAGGGATCTTCTCCTGTTTGAGCCCTTGCCAAGGAGGGAAATATGGCAGAATCCCAAAGGGAATGGGGATGGCACTGGGGAAGAGAGCAGTCGAGGGCTGTTGAGGAAGAGGAGGAGGGGAGGAAGTTGGCTCTGGGCTGGGCTCTTAGTGATGGTGCTGCAGCTTTCCCCTGAGGACAGCTTGAAATCATGACCCCAACCTTCCCTGTACTCCAATTGCTGTGTAAGAGCCCCAAACCACTTCTGCTGCCTGGAAAGGGAGGGAACAAAGAAAAAAAAAAGTTTTTTTGCCCTCTCCTCTTGTCCTCTGATCTGTGCTGTGCTGTGGGTCTGCCTGCAGGCTGCGGGGGGTTGGGGGGGGGAATGCAATGAACTGGGTGCTGCCCAGGGCCACTGCTGGGCTTCAACTTTTATCCCGTAAATCAAACTGAACACAGATCGTGTGTCTCACTTGGCAATGATCCCTTCTGTGATCCACACTGCTGGGCCAGGAACCCCGGCAGGTGCATGGGGGAAAGGCTTGGGGCTACAGAAGCAGCAGTCCTCCCACCTCCCAAAACTGAGAGCCATGGTCTGCAGGGTACCTTCAGCCCCACTGCCAGCCAGGCACAGCTGAAGGGTTCCCCCTCCTTTCCTTGCCAGCACACAGGGTTTCGCCTTTCCTGATCAATAAAAGCTTTTTTGTTTTGCCTTTATACTTCTGTGTGCTCCAAGGCAGCGCGGTTCAGCCCTTCTGCTGGTTGTGCTGCTGGGAAAGGGGCTGGGGGCAAGCACTGGAGCTGCGTGCCAGCTGCCCTGTGCTCCTTAGGGCCAGGTGGAGGGAGGGCAGGTCCTTAGCAGCTGGTGAGGGGCTGCAGCACAGCACAAGGGAGCTCCGGCAGCCTGCAGAGCCCTGCTGAGGGCAGCAACAGGACTGCGGCTGACTGGAGCAGGAATCGCCTTGGGGGTGATGCTGGGGGGCTGCCTGCACCCAATGTGGGTGCATCTCCCAAGGGCTGCAGGCCGTGAACCTCAAAACGCCCCTCAACGCCACGCTGAGCCCCCAGCGCGGCACCGGGCAAGAGAACAAGAAAAGCCAGCAGTTCATCAGTGCCCCATCCATCCCTCAGGGCTCGGGGGACCGCAGGGGGGGCTCGCCTCCTTCTGCCCCCTCTGCTGCATGCAGCCTCATCGTCCACCCTGAGGTTCCATCCCACATCTCAGGGCCGCCCCCCCTGGGCTCCCATCCACAGTGGGTCGGGCACCCAGGGACCCCCAGAGTGCCACGAGGCGCCGTGTCCAGCAGCAGGGCTGGGCAGGAGAGAAACCCTCAGTCAGGAAAGGCGACACAAAGAACCAATGCTTCGCTGGGTTGCTTTTGTTGGTTTTGTTTTTTTTTTTTTTGTCGTCGGTTTTTTTTTTTTTTCCTCAATTCATTTTTTTATGAAAACAGCTCACATGGAGTCCTGCGACCAACAGAATGCCAAAAAGAAACCGCTTGGAACAGAACATAAAACAAAAACAAAAGACAAAAAAAACCTGGCTCTCCTTTCCTCTCGATTGTCTGAAATATCCTCGTGTTCCATAGAAGGCAGTGGGTTTTAAGTGCTTTCTATTTAACATTAGCATAAAATCTCTCTCTCTCGCGCGCTCTCTCGCTCTGTTAAAATATGCTCACACCATTTGCTTCTACAGGTACAGTACAGCGGGGGGGTGCCTGTTCCCAGATCATTTACAATCACAATCCAACAGGAAATAAAAAATAATATTCTGAACGTCAGACTGTGTTCGTTTTCTGCCGTGGGTTCTGCTGGGGTTTGGTGGTGGTTGGTTGGATTATTTTGGGTTTTTTTTTTTTTCCTTTTTTTTTTTTCCTTTTTTTTTTTTCTTTTTTTTTTTCCTTTTTTTCTTCTCCTCACAGTTTTAAAAAGCTTATATTTATATATATATATTTATATTTATATTTATAATTAAAAAGTTGAACCCATTTAAAGATTTATAATACAGGAGGGGCTAAAGGAGTCTTTTGGTACATTAAAACTGTACAGGTTCGAACCATCACCATGCGCGGCGCCCGGGGCAGAGGGGGGACGGCGCAGCACCGTTGTGGTTCCAGCTGAAGGCGAGGGGTGACTGCAGGCCCAGCCAGGCCCCCCGGCACGCAGCAGCATCGGGCTGATGGTTGGCAATGTGTCCAAGCTCTCCCCACCACAGCCTGGGCTGCTGCTCCCGGCCGAGCTGAGCCCCGCTCCACGTCGCAGCCACGCAGTGCGAGTCGACAGTTGCAAAGATCAGTGCGTCTCCTGGGAGCTGTTGTGTAAGTGCAAGGATGTTGCGTGGTTCTGTTCTCCTCCCACATCCCCCCCCTGGCTGGGCTGGCCAGCTGAGCGCTCCCCTGGCCTGGCGGCTGTGGAAACGCAGCAGCAGGGCATGGCTGGGCTCCACGCGCCATCCCTGTTCCTTCAAATGAGGCAGAGGGCTGCCGGGCAGCTGACTGCTCCACGCAGGCAAGAGAGGTAAAGCCGAGTGAGCTGTGCTGAAATCCATTCCACCACGGGAGGCACCCCCTCACTGCAGCCTCCTCTGCTCCGAGCAGCGCAGCAGCGTCTCCCAGTCGTTTCCTTCCCTGCTTCTCTGCACACTCGCACGGTTGTTCGGCAAGCCTCACCCTCTTCTCCCCCTGCTCCTCCTCCTCCATCTCCTTTGTGAGACAGGAGAGTGGGAAGGTGGGCTCAGCCCATGTGGGGCAATGGGAAGGCAGCAGCCCAGGTGTGACAGGGGCTCACCTGGCACCTCCAGCCTGGAGTAACTCTCCTGCCGTCTCCAAGCTGGGGCCAGCACTGCCCTTCCGTGCTCCACTGCCAGGCAGGGGAAGGGGAACCGCAAAAAGGCGCCGGGAGGATGGAGGCGAGGCGCCGAGAGAGACTCATCTCCTTTCTCTTTCACCCTGTCCTTCCTAAAGGGTCATGCGAAACAAGCAGGAAAGGGGATATAAGGACGGAGAGGAGCGTACGCAGAAGGTCAGCAGGTGTCCTTCCACATACAGGCGGCTTCTGATGGGGGCAAATGACACAGAAGGGATCCCTCCTGCTGGGGATCCCGCTGGTGAAATGATCGTGAGAGCCATGTGCTTTCCAGGACCGAAAGGAGGAAGGGAGAAGTTGGTCACCGTAACTAAATCCACTTCCCAAGGATTCTTGAGGCTCATACACCTCCGCCACCACCCTCGGCACCTTCCGTGATTGCTGTAACCGCTTTCCCAGCCCCTTTCTTCAGCCCTCTCCTTCCTCCCCATGTCTCTCGCACTCTCCTGTCTGTAGTGTGACACGGAAGTCATGAGCTTTGAAAGAAACAATCATGTCGTCTGAACAGGCACGTCCTCAAGTTTGTCCTGTCCCTTCCCAGGGCTGGCTCGTGCTCCCTGGGCGGTCAGCAGATGACAGGGACCCCGTCGGTGTTGAAGATCATGCCCGTGGTGGGCTCGTAGGTCCCTGCAAGGTAGTAGAGGTCCTCACTGTCTTGGTATTTCTTAGTCTTTAGCATCTGCTCATACTGATCCAGACCAACAACGAGACACTTGTGTGAGATGGTCTGGACATCGTTCTCATCCACGTGAGAGGACTGATAGAGAGCTCGCTGCGTTACAGGAAGGGAAGAAGGCAGACAGAAAGGAGCAATTAGAACTCTCAGCAATTAAAGCATCATCTGTAATACACAAGAACATCCACCAGACTGTCGAGGGCCTGTGCTTGCACAGAACTCCCCAGCCATCCCCACTGCAAGCCCAGGCAGGGACACTTGGAACACCAGGGGCAGCGTGGACGTGATCAGTCCTTCCCACCAAACCTGAGCCCTTGTGCACAGCCAGCTCCCACAGAAGGGAAGCACAGCTGCAGCGTGTGCCGACAGGGAAATGCAGAGGCCTAGAGTTTGTCATCTCCATTTCAAGGATGCAAATGCAAAGACAGGTGCTGGCTGGGGACCCACCGCTCCTCCCAACACCCGGCACCAGCAGCGATTCCCATCCTCCCAAATACACCCATCCAAAGTCCTGGGAACTGCAGCCTCAACAACTGAGGCAAAATGTAAAAGCCAGAGAAGCTCAGAGGCTTTTCCCCAGCAGCATCAGTTAAGCAGTCGCAGCACCAACCTCCATGAAGTCCTTCCTCTGGTTGGATGCCTGCAGAGCTGTGGACAGACTCCTGCCTGATTTCTGATCCCAGCGCTGCGCCCAGGAGAAAAAGAGAAGACAGAAATAAAAAGAAAGCAAATTAATTGGATTTTCCATGTTATCATCCCCCGCCCACCACACGTGCCTTTATTACCTCAGCCCCACCCCAAGGCAATACAAACTCACAGCCTACTGTAAACCACACTGTGCAAAGATGCAGAGCTCAGCATTCCTGAGCAGCAGGCTAGCAGTTTTACACTGCAGAGTCTTGGTCTGACTCTTAATGAACTCTTGTTGGACTGACATACACAGCTATTTCCTAGCAGATACTCTTCCTTGGATCAAGAGGTATCAGGCTTGCCCACAGCCCCAGCACGAGATGATGGTTTCACCCCATAACAGTACCAGCAATGACCTGGGCCATAATTCTCCCTGTCCTCAGGAGAGGAACACAGCCATGCAGCTTTGCAGCCCTGTCAGGAAAGGCGAGTAGCCCACCTTGCCTTCGTTGAGCTTCTTCCCAGGGTTGGTTTCCTCTGGGTGATAAAACCACTTGACTCGGACCACCATGTTGTTCCCCCACGACTCCCACATGCTCTGGATGCGGCCAATGTAGGGCAGGTTGGGGCGGCCAGCTGACAGGAAGACCGCGCAGTCTCCAATGCGGATGATCTCCTTGCCCCGGACGATGGCCTTGTAGAAGAGCTTCCTGGCCTTCCCCTTCATTCCTCGTCTCTGCCAAGAGAGGATCACACAGGTGAGCAGCTCAGGTTTCCCTCATCCCACATCCTGCCCTGTTCTGTTGGCAAAGCCAGACCCAGCCTGGCAACGACACAGCCACCGCCCGGCCAGGACAATCCACAGCCTGAGCACTGCTGATGGAGACTCAAAGATGTGGTGATGGTCAACAGACATTTCCACGAGAAAAAAGACAGAGAGGCAGGCCGTGTGGGACAGCTCCCCACAACGCAGCCAAGGCCGACCCCAACCTCCTCACGGCCCCAGCAGAGGACATTACACCAGCAGAGCATCGCCAAGCCCAGATGGAAAGGCTCCCTTTCCCAGGCAAATGGGAAAGGCTGTGCTTACCTGCGTGGGCTTCCCGAACCACTTCCACAGCTGCCGTGCGGGCAGGAAGGCGGCGATCTTGGGTCTGTTCTCCACCGACGGCAGCCGCTGCCGCTTGGCCAGCTCCTTGGTGGTGGGCAGGTGGATGCCCTCACGTTTTTTGGGCCTGCTCTTGTTGCCGCTCTGCTGTGGCGCCGGCTGCTGCGCCGGCTGCTGCGCCGGCTGCTTCTGGCTCTGGGGGTGGGAGGACGCCCGGGATTTCCCTGTCTGTTTGGTTTGCTTGGGAGGGAGGGTTTGCTGCACTGAGGAACTTGGCTGGGCCTCAGCTACTTCGTCGTCAGAGCTACAGGAGGAGTCTTCATCTGTAGTGGAGGAGGAAGAGGAGCTGGAACTTGAGGAGGAGGAGGTCGATGAGGCAGAGGAAGAGGAGGAAGAGGAGGAGGAAGAGGAGCTGCTGCTAGAAGAGGAAGAGGAGGAGGAGTTGGAGGAAGAGAGAGGAGTGGATGCTCTTGAGCTGGTCGAGCTGCTGTCCTGAGCCTCCCCTCGGTTCTTCTCAGTCTCCTCTTCTCCCTCTGACTCTGAGCTGCTGTCACTGCTGTTGCTCTCAGACTCCTCTACAGCTGCTGGCGCTGATGCTTTGTCTTCCTGGTCCTTTGAGGCACTGAGGCTTTCTGCCGAGCCATCAAACTTTCCCCCAAAGCTGGCAGGGTCCCCCTCAGCTGCTTTGGCTCGGGAGGATTTCTGCTTGCCCTCTGCACCCACTGCAGGTGAATAGCCCAGCCCCAGGAGGCTTTTGCCATC